AAATGCAGAGGGGGAACCAAAATGCAGAGGGGGAACCAAAATGCAAAAAAAAAAAAAAAAAAAAAAAAAAAAAAAAAAAAAAAAAAATAAAGGGGGAACCAAAACCTGCAGAGTGTGGGGGAACCAAACAATGCAGAGGGGGGGGAGGGGAACCAAAATGCAGAGGGGGAACTAAAATGCAGAGGGGGAACCAAAATGCAGAGGGGGAACCAAAATGCAGAGGGGGAACCAAAATGCAGAGGGGGGACCAAAATGCAGAGGGGGAACCAAAATGCAGAGGGGGAACCAAAATGCAGAGGGGGAACCGAGGGGGGGAACCAAAATGCAGAGGGGGAACCAAAATGCAGAGGGGGAACCAAAATGCAGAGGGGGAACCAAAATGCAGAGGGGGAACCAAAATGCAGAGGGGGAACTAAAATGCAGAGGGGGAACCAAAATGCAGAGGGGGAACCAAAATGCAGAGGGGGAACCAAAATGCAGAGGGGGGAACCAAAATGCAGAGGGGGAACCAAAATGCAGAGGGGGAACCAAAATGCAGAGGGGGAACCAAAATGCAGAGGGGGAACCAAAATGCAGAGGGGGAACCAAAATGCAGAGGGGGAACCAAAATGCAGAGGGGGAACCAAAATGCAGAGGGGGAACCAAAATGCAGAGGGGGATCTAAAACAAGAGCAGCAGGTTCAGTCAAAGCAAACCACCTTGAGTGGACTCAAAAATCACCAAAACAGGATGGTCTTGACTCTTGAGTCGACTAAAAGATCACCAAAACAAGATGACTTTTGAGTAGACTAAAAGATCACCAGAACAAGATGACTTTTGAGTAGACTAAAAGATCACCAGAACAAGGTGACTTTTGAGTAGACTAGAAAAATCACCAAAACAAGATGACTTTTGAGCCGACTAAAAGATCACCAAAACAAGACCAGCCGGTTCAATCAAGCCAAACCACCACGTGAAGAGCCCGCAACGGAAGCTCACCGGATAGAAAGTCAAAACGGGGAGTGTCAGAAACAACAGCAGCTGCGCATGGTACGATGGGGGTTGAGTGGGCGAAAGGGGGGAGGGGGAAGGGGGGGAGGAAGCGAGGGATGTTGGCATGCATTTTAGCCGCTGTGGGTGGCACCAGAAGGATGAGAAAATGAGAATTCGAAGAGATGGGATGGGGATGGGGAAGCTGAGAAAGCTGAGAAGACTACAAACAAAAAAGAGGGAAAGAGGAGGGGCAAAAGGATAAGGCCCGTAAATACTATAGGATGACAAAGCAGAAAGAAAAAGGTGGGAAAGGAATGGGGGGGTGGGGGTGGTGTGGGGGGAGATGAGTTGAGGTAGCAGAGAGAGAACCGTTGGTGTGCGGGGGAGGGAGGGGGAGTGGGAGGGGAGGGGAGGGAGGGGAGGGGAGGGGAGGGGAGGGGAGGGGAGTGGGAGGGGAGGGGATGACAAATGACAGTGGGTAGGTGCAAGGTGCAGCGCACTTACCTAAGTGCCGGTAGTGGAGCACCGAGTTTTGCTCTGCGATGGTGTGCGGGTGCTCTAGAGCCCCTGAGACGAACGCTCCTAGGAAGAGCTCCTGCGATGGTGGCATGGACAACGAAAGCGGGACGTGTGTGAGCTAGAGAGGGAGAGAGAGGAGGGGGGAGGGGAGGGGGGGGGGGGGAGAGAATTTACGAAGAACATAGCAGATCACAATTACACGAGAATCCAAGCTTACCCAGTAATGGAACATTACCGAGCTTCTCACAACTGAGCTGAACTAGTAGAGCAATACCGAGTTTTGATTGAGACGTCTCAAGACCTGGGCATTACCGTTGCATGGGTAATCAGCGTCGCAGCTTCCCCACTAAGATGCATCTCTTTCTCCCTCTCCCTCTCCTTCTCCCTCTCCCTCCCCTTCTCCTTCTTTTCATTCTCCTTCTCCCTCTCTGTCCCACGCCCCGCACCACCGCGCCAGCTGCAGAAGCTGCTGCCCACGGCCTCCTGAGCCACTCGCTTCACTCGAGAGAACGGCAGATGGAACAGTCCTGCCACTCCTAAAGATGCTCGCCTCCCCTCGTGCCCTTCCCCTCGACTGCTCTCCCCCTCTTGCCCCTCCCTCTCTTCCTCCTCCCCTCCATTTCCCCCTTCTCCCCGAGCCTCCATCGCTTCCGCTTCCCTCCCCTCCCTTCTCCCCCTCCCCTCCTCCCTGCTTCCCTCCCCACCCCCACCACCCCCACCATCCCTCTGCCGCCCGTTTGAGCCCCACTCTGCAGAAGTCCCTTTACCACCTACACCGCCGTCCCTCTCCTCCTCCCTCCTCTCTGCGCTCTCAAGGGGTGCCTTCCGCTCCTCCTTCGCCCTGCTCTTCCTCTCCCCATCTTCACCAGGGGATCGCTTCCTCTTCTGCTCGCCTGCGCCCTTTCCCTGTTCGGATCCGTTCATCTTCTTTTGCCCCTGACTCCCCCCCTGCGCCTGCTTCCCATCCTGCGCCTGCTTCCCCCCTGCGCCTGCTTCCCATCCTGCGCCTGCTTCCCCCCTGCGCCTGCTTCCCCCCCTGCGCCTGCTTCCCCCCCTGCGCCTGGTTCCGCTTCCCCTTTTCTCGCAGCTCCTGCTTTAGCTTGCGCGCCTGCTCTCTTTGCACAGTACTGGCAGTGTCGGTAGGCGCAGCAGACAGACGGCTACCAGAAGGTGGCTCAACCGCAGGTGAAACAACCAACGCCGCTTTTGCCTTGGCTCCAACTTTCCCTGTGCCTGCAGGAGACTGGGCTGCTGCTGGTGACTTGGCTGCTGCTGGTGACTTGGCTGCTGCTGGTGATTTGGCTGCTGCTGTTGCGGAGTTGGACCCTGGAGTCTTAACACTCGGAGTCTTAACACTCGGAGTCTTAACACTCGGAGTCTTAACACTCGGAGACTTAACACTCGGAGACTTAACAGATGGAGACTTGGCACTGGATGATTTCGGTGCTGTGGGTTTCACTGCTGGAGGCTGCGACTTTGTCGAGGTAACAGCAACAGCAGCAGCACATCCAGCAGCAGCAGCAGCAGTCTCCTCCTCCTCCTCCTCCTCCTCATCCCCCTCCACATCCACATCCACATCCACATCCTCCTCCTCCTCCTGCTCCTCCTTGTCACTCTCACTGTCGTCCAACACAACGACTTCACAATTGGGTGGCATCTCTCGTTTCTCGCCTGCAGTAACACCTCTCTTATTGGCAACCCCGTTACAAGCCTTCTCGGCTTCCTTTCCTTCGACCCCTCTATCCATTCCCCCTAATCCATTCACCTCTCCTTTCCCCTGTGCCTTCGCTTTCAAATCCCCTGCTCCCACCCCCCCATTGTGTTTCTTCACATCCTTCCCTCTCTCCTCCCCCTCCTCCTCCTCCTCCTCCTCCTCCTCCTCCTCCTCCTCCTCCTCCTCCTCCTCCTCCTCCTCCTCCTCCTCCTCCTCCTCCTCCTCCTCCTCCTCATCATCATCATCACTATCTACCAGAATCACATCCCCATCCGAATCCTCCTTCTCCCCCACAGCTGCACTTCGTCCGCGGCTCTCAGGGAGTCGGTGCTGCTGCTGGGGGCGAGTACCGCTCATGCCTGAACCTAAAAAATGCGGCAACGGCTAAGCAATGGCAGCGTTGACGGGACGACGGGGCGACCAGAGCAGCAATGTAATTTGAGGCGACCAGACGTCGAAAGGGATGGAACTTGAGGCGACCAGAAGTCTAAAGGGCTGGAATTTGAGGCGTCAACCTGACGACAGCAACGGCTTTTGGGACGTCTCGGACGTCTAAACGGCCTTAAAAGAAGGAACCTGCGGGAATGTGCTGCTTGCGACTCCTGGGGAACCCTGACTCCACTGCAGAACCGCGAACAGGAGTGATTGACTACTGGGAAAAAGTGACCAGGGACTATATGGTAATTAGATGGTGATTAGATGGCGACTAGATGGTGATTAGATGGCGATTAGATGGGTGAAAAAAGGTTGCCGCAGCAGTCCCGGTGTACTTTGAGTCGACTCAAAAATAAAGCAGCAGTCCGGGTAACAAGCTGGTCGGAAACCCCGCAGCCTTCGGTGTCCCCTAAGCCCGGCCAAAACCTCCAAGAAAGACGGGGAAAGGTGCTGTGGAGCGATCGGATCGAATCTAGGACGGAATCTGACGGAATCCGGCAGAAAATAGAATGACAGGAACAGCGTGCGTGAAATGCGGCCTGAAGCCGGGAGAGAACGAGGCGGAACTGTCGAGGAGGATCAGTTGATGCAGGAACGTATACAAGCGGTAAGCGATGCTGCTAAGAACGGGTACGGACTGGAACTATGGCGGGGAAGAAACTAGGGTTCGTAAGGAAAGGCAAGAAACGAAAATGTGGAGGGGAGGATAAGGAATGGGTTTGGCTTTGAGGATGCAGGGAAGAGCTCCAGAATGATGGGGTGGGAAGGGAAGTAGTGCGGGAGGAGCATCGAGAGAGCTCAATCGTGGTGAAAAGCGATTGTCATAGCTCCTACAAGTTTCGGAAAAGTGTATATGGGGAATAAGTAATGTGCCGAGGGCGCTTGTAAAGAGATTGCGCACCCCTGACTCAACTTGTGCTGGCCAATCACAGACCTTGCCTCGAGCGTAACGACAAGTTGAGCAAGCAGTCATGACCGCCACCAAACCAGTATTGAGGGTTCCAAACTTCATTCCGTGGCTCGGATTTCACAAACTTATAAATAGTCCAATCATGTTTTGCCAACTGTTCATGGCACGTCCAAACCGAACCAGAGTAAAGTACAGGACCATTTGCAGCTCCTCCTCACACGCCCACCCTGATCTCAGCCTAAAGCCTCCTAGAATTTTGCGGCGGGATTTATATTCTGTCTGGGTCCTTGTTTCTGGATCAACCTCCTAGATCCCCAAACCCAAGCCAAGCCTCTTTACTAGGTTCAGACATAAGAAGCATGCTACCGACGTCGCGATCTGCAAAGTCGCCATCGCGCTCTCACTCTACCATGGCCGTCGCGATCCCACAGTAGTGTGCAGCCGTCTATTGTGTAAGGAGCTCGCCAATTCTGACGGATTCGCTAAATCCGTCCGCACGTGACGCCACGTTCCAGCCTCATTCCCGTCCAAACCCCTTCGACTATTCGTTATTCTGATTCAACTGATGAACCAGGTCAAGAAGGATCGACGTTGAACGACCTTCCACCACCACCACCACCATCATCATCATCATCAGCAGCAGCAGCACCACAACCATCGCCAGCGCCAGCGCCAGCAGCTTCAGCAACAAAACCCGTCCCTCCTCCTGCGCCTCTCCCCCCACCATGCGCTCCTCAACCCCCCCCTCCCCCTCCTCTCCGCTCCTCTCCTCCCCGCATCCCCGCCGCTCCTCCCCCTCCCGCATTCTCCCCATCCCCTCGTCCTTCCCAGGGCCAGGCCCCGTAGGCCCTCTCTCACGATCAACATTCTCAAACCTCCATATCCTCTGGAGATGGCAGGGGCATCTTCCGCTTCCCACGCGGCAGCTACTCCTCTGCTGGCTATTCTCTTTCCTTCGCTGGTTCAAACCCTCCGAGCCCTTTCTAGTTGACATCATGGTTTCCAAAGGCCTCTCCAACGCTGACGTGTACCACAAAGTTTTCCCCGTCTGGGTTTTTTCGCAGCTGCCCGCGCTGCTGCTCGTCAGCCTTCTCTCAAAGCTCATTGGCTGCAAGCCCACCGTGGTTATCGGCGCAATCCTTGGATTCGCCACTACCGCACTAACCATAGCAGCCCCTGCTCCCCTGGCCGACACTCTCATTCCTCTCACCTTCCTTCAGGCCAGTCAGGTAACCTTTGCTCTCTCCTTCGCCGCTCATTCCGCCTTCTCCGCCCTCTCTCTCGCCTCGCTCCCCCGGTCTCACTACACTCTCGCGTCCCACGGCAACCATGCTGCCACGCTGGCGGGATCCTGCCTGTCGGCGCTGCTTGGCCGAATCATGGCGCGCCACGTGTCACTTTTGGTGCTCTTTACTGTTTCGCTGGTGTGCCAGCTTCTGTCTGTTCTGGTGGCTGTGCTGCTGCGTCCTGCTGCTGCTAATGTAGGCACAGAGACAGAAAAAGAAGCAGAAAAGGGAGCAGAGCCAAGAGCAGAGCCAAGAGCAGAACCAAGAGCAGAATCAACGGCAGGGAATGTAACAGGAGGGAGAGGAGAAAACGCAGCAGAAAAGAGACCAGAAAAGGGACACCAGTTGATAAGCTCGGCGCGCCACTCATGCCTGCCTTTGCACCCTCTTCTCCACTCTATCCTCGGAGCCGTGGCATCAGTAGCAGCAGACGTGTGCTGCGCCCTCTCTGCCCCCACCGTGCTGAGCTGGTCGTGCTGGGCTGTGCTGGCCGACAGTGTGCATCGCATGGTCATGACCTACTGGCTCTCGCTAGTGAAGGAGCTCGCACCACATCCACATCCGCACCGGCAACAGCCCACATCCCTGCTTCCCCTGCCGGCTCAGCTTGGTCTGGCCGCGTCTGCGGCGTCCTCCGCATCCTCCTCCTCTGCCCTCTCCTCTGCTGTATCTGCTGCTGTCGCTCCTGCTGCTTCTTACCCTGGCTTGGCTGGCGTTACAGCAGGCGCAACAGGGACAACAGCAGTTTTATCAGCAGCAGCAGCAGCAGGGGCAGCAGCCATTGCAGCAGTAGCAGCAGGAGGAGGCAGAGGAGGTGTAACAGGGCCCGTGTTACCACCTCTCTACAGCCCTTCTTCTGATTTTCTCGGACCTGTGCCTGGCAATTCAACCACGGAACAGACTTTCGTTCATGAAGCAACTATGGCGCCCAAGTCAGGTTCTCTTGGGTTTGGACCGGCTACATCTGAAGGGGGTTTTCCAGGGAGTGGGCTCTCCAGTTTTCGACCTGTGGATTCTCACAGACATGGCCTTGGGGAGTGGTACCCCCGTGGGCATCGCAGATTGCTGGTGTATCCGCCACTGGTCGAACAACAGTTGGTAGTGGCTGAGCCAGGGGTAGCAGATGGAGCAGCACGAGAAGGGTTTGACAGCGAGAAGAATCTGCTGAAGTCAGTGCTCTTAGATGAGACCACCCCAGCAGCTGTAGCAGGAGCAGCAAAGCCAGCAGCAGCTTCTGATGCAACTAGTGCGTGCTACATCCTAATGAACCTGGCTGCTGCACTTGCCATTGTTGCTGCTGCATATCTCCCACTCACCCATGCCCACACGATCATTCAGATCACCTCGGCCTCTGCTTGTGGCCTTGCGCTGGTTACCACCAGCCGTGGCCCTTTGTCCTCGGTTACGTATGTGGCTCTGGTCGTGTACCACGCACTGCATGAAGCTACGGGGGCTGTTTGTGCTACTAGGGTAGCGGGCCATGTTCGACAATCAACAGCAGCACCGATACTAACATTGACAGGGACACCAGAACGCGTACCAGCTCCAGCACCACTTACATCAACAACACTTGCACCAGAAGTGGTAGCAGCAGCGTCAGCAATGCCAGCAGCACCCGCACCCCGACCCGCACATGTGCCACCATCACCATCACTGACAATAACCCCAACATTATCACCAACACCGACAATAGCTCCAGCACCATTGTCCGCAAGTCATGCATGCATACCAACACCAGGGCGGCATGCCTTGGAGCAGCAGCTGACTTCCCTTTTTGCAGCAACAGCAGCCACCTCAGTGGTGCTGCAGTCTGCGGTTCAAGCGGGGTTGCTGTTATTGCTCGGCGGATCTGTTGCTGGATGGTTCCTTGTCGATGGCATTGCCTTGTTGTCTTTCGCAGCATTGCTAGGCATAGTGGCTATAGTTCGAGCCCTGGTAGGTTAGGGTATTTTTGTTTTGTCCAGTTGCTATAGAGGGCATTTTTGTTTTGTCCGGTTGTAAGGATATTTTCTTTATAGGACATCCGCTGTTGGCTATTAATGTCATAGAGTACAAGCCTAGGCTAAACATGCCTAACTTATGGTACCTTGCATGCTATTGAATGACTGTGTGATAAGCCATATTTCGCCCGCGAAAGTGGTGCACGAGTCTAACAAAATCAAGGACACTCACAGGAGCACACTGTAAGGAAAATGCCTTTTCCTTACTGGGCTCAACTACAGCGCGTACGCCCTTGACCCTCGGAAGACCAGGCCCGGCCATTTTCCTCGGTCCCGAACCATTTCGTAAACCCAAACCTAATGCGCGGCGCCTCCGTGGCTTTCGCCAGCCGAATCGCCCTAACCTGTTTGCGAGGTTCTCGGCTAGCCCTGTTTGTTAAAATTATCTAAGTTATAATTTATATAGGCTTGGTAGGTTGTTACTGAACCTTTCTGTAGAGGGTACAAACCCCTCCTTGTATGCCTCTCTCTTACTACTCCAATCACTCTTTTCTCTCGACACTTTCCTACCCTCCTAGCTAAACCCCGCCGCCACATTCATGGCGGCCTTATCCTTTACTCCTTCCTAGTTTCCTATCTTATCATGGTAACAGAGCCGGCCGTTTCCGGGCCTGCTCCCCACGCTTCCGCCGTGTGCTACCGTAATCCCCCGTATAAAGCACCCTATGGTGTTAATAAAAATGCAGCAAAATTTTGGGCTGGGTGTAATTAAAGGCCAAAAAAATAAAACACCCAGGAGTTATGGAATGTGCATATGGTTTTTATAATTGGAATTCAAGTGTGCCTGTTTCACCACATTCATTTGAGTCAGATACCCACTTTTGGTCACCTCATTGCATACTGGACGATATTCCCGATCTGCATGCCACATTGGCAGTGAGCATGCAGTGTCAGGGAGGATGCTCTCAGAACAACCAATGAGCACACGTTTAATTTGGCGGGACGCGCGAAAGTCGAGTACAGTCTCAAACTTTCGGATTTGTTTTCGTCGATTTTATTTTTCTTTCGGGCAGATTCGTCTCCTACCTAAGAGCGTAGCCTCTTCCAAGGGAACCTTCCCAGGCTCGCGAACTACAGTGTCGCGAATTCTGACGCGAAATATTTTAGTGCTGTTCCATAAGGTGCAACGTCAGGTTCAGCCTGCCGAGATTCATGGGCATGTTTCAAAACCTTTGTTCAGGCGACATTGTTTCCGACACGCGGGAATCTGTACAGTAAATTTTCGGTGCGAGCAGTTTTTTTCTGCGATTGAGCCGCGGAATGACGCAACACGAAATTCTGGCATTTCCTGCTAGAAATGGAGATTCTAGTGGCAGGGGGGTGTTCAAATGTTTTCACGTCCGAGAGTAGGGTGTTGTGTATATCCAGAAAAATTAAACACCCATACCCGCTCAAGCTACCCGGGGGAGCTTAATTCCGGCGGGTGTTTTATACGGGGGATTACGGTACTTGTTTCCTGTCCGTCGCCGTGCCGCCGTGGCGGTCATGTCCTCCCTTCCCTGCTTTCGTGGTGGTGCCATGGAGCTGCCGTGGCAGCCCCGACGCGTGGCGTCATCGCCACACCGCTGCGACGGCATCGTGCTGCGGTCGCGGCGTCGTCGTCCCGCCACTGCATCGCCGCCGCGCAGTGGCGGCGTCGTTCTGCAGTGGCAGCATCGCTCGGCGGCAGCCGGCCGCGCGACGTTCGTGGCGTCGCCACACCAGCCGCCCGCACGCCAGCCTCAATCGTGAGGCTAGACCACGCCCCCCCCCCCCCCCCCCCCCCGCCCCCCCCCCGTCCCCTGTGTCCTGTTCCTCGCAGCCGACAGTTACCTCCCGCCGGCCGTCCCGTCGCCCAGGAGATCGGCCATGCCGCCGAGAGGGCGGGGGCCGCTGCAGTTGCCCCTGACGATTGAAGCCGCCGCCGCCGCTGTTGCCGCTGGCCTGTTGCCACCGCACGCCGCCGTCGTCGCCGCTCTTGTCACTGCCGCCGCTGCAGCCATTGCCATCTCCCGGGCGGAAGCCCCACCCGGAGTCATCGCGCCTGCTGCTGGGAATGGGGGTGCTGGGCTAGGGTGTGTGGGTGTGGGTGTGTGTGGGCTTGTGACTACCAAGCCTAGGGGGTGTGTTAAAATTATCTAAGTTATAATTTATATAGGCTTGGAATGTTGTTACTGAACCTTTCTGTAGAGGGTACAAACCCCTCCTTGTATGCCTCTCTCTTACTACTCAAATCACTCTTTTCTCTCGACACTTTCCTACCCTCCTAGCTAAACCCCGCCGCCACATTCATGGCGGCCTTATCCTTTACTCCTTCCAAGTTTCCTATCTTAACACTGTTGTGCCTATAAATGCCTAGGTCCTCATTTGTATTGACAACTCTTGAATCACGACTCTTTTATTACACTACCTGTTATTACTCTGATTAATTCATAACGGCTGGTATCAGAGCCCCGTTCCTGCCCGCTTAGTCTTCCGTAGAGTAGTCCGTTTATATCGGGAGAGGACCCGACAGAATAGAGGGTTGGCCAGCGGTTGGTAGGCGAGCTCGTTAAAGCTCCTCCAACTAAAAGCGTGTGCACCCTCAGATCTATCAGGTAAAATTTCCAGCATGACTAGCACGCCAGAAACCTCTGCCCGTCGTAGTGTTAGGAACGTGACTCAGGAGGAGTTTGACGAGCTGCAAGCCAGGGCGGCTACAGTGACGACACTGCAGGCCTAGCTTCAACAACTCGCGGATAAATTCGAGTCGCTGGGAAGCGAAGTTCAGACGCTGCGCAACGAAAACTCGTCACTTCGCCAAACGCGGGGTGAAACGCGTAAGGAGCGGCCTGTTACCCGAGACGAGGATGCTGCGAGCGAAGCGAAGGCGTCGGCGACACCTGAAGCAGTTGAAGAAATCCAAAGCGAACCGCGGGCGGCCATTAAAATCAAGTGAACCGCAGCAAGTATTAATGACAACGCCTCACGCGTCAACTTGGCTGTGTCGCTACTGAGGGGACCAGCACTCGACTGGTGGCGCATGCATCTTGACGAGGGAGGAGCTCCGGCAGGGAATCAACGGGCGGCAGCTGGGGAGATGAGTTCACCACAGCAACGGCAGAACCAATCTTTGGCTCGACCACGATCCGCACGTGGAAAGCGTGGGGTGAAGCGTTGAAAAGCAGATTCGAGCACATATCCATGCGCGAAAATGCTCGCACAAAGCTTCGGATGTGGAGACAGTTGGGCCCTGTCCAAGAATACACGGCGTCGTTTCTGGCCATCTGCGACCAAATCGGAGGGATCAGCGAGGACGAGAAAATCGATCGCTACGTGGGCGGACTCAAACCGGAGATTCAACAAGAAATCGTCCTGCGACCCCGACGACCTTCAACGAGATTGTTCGCATGGCGGATGCGCTGGACGCGCGACGTGGACTTGCGAGAGCGGGTTTCCGGGAGGGAAATCGCTTTCGAGGCCAGCCCCAACACACATCAATCAACGGCGTGGACGTGTTTGCAGCCCGAGTATTTTCGGGGACCTGCTTCCACTGCAACCAGCCGGGTCACATGGTGAGGGACTGCCTGCAGCTGAAGAAGAACTTACCTAACGATAAGAAGCAGTCGGGAAATAGAGATCGTCAGTAGCAGATGGGCCACCTACTGACTTGACTGCGTCGCCCAAACGCCACCACCCCCACCAGGTTATAGTGTCGATTTGGGCTATCGACCATTCCTGGCTGAATAAGGGGGGTGAACCGGTTGACCACCCTGTGCTGGTTGAAGGGAGAGTTGGTGATACCCGCATAAAAATATTTGTTGATGGTAGGGCAAGCCACAGTTTAATGGATGTGACGAAAGCGAAAAAATTGCGACTGCAACTGGAGCGGTGTCTGCCCGAAATCGACGCGCGATTGGTCGATGGCACACCCCTGGCAATTCGGGAGGGAGTACCTCACGTGCGAGTTACATGCGGCGAAAATTTCAGCTTTACGACGAAGATGCTGGCGACAACGTTGGACGGCTGCGACATGCTGCTGGGACGCGATTGGCTGCGCGAGTACAACCCGAGCATCGATTGGCGGACGGGTGACTGTCGAATCAAATGGAGTGGCGAGTGGCGAAGACTTCCGAAGTGGAACAATCCAGATTCTGCGACAGTCAGCGCGGTTACCATCAAGCGAGCGATGATTCGCGGGGCACAACTGTACGCCGACAGATGGATCGCATCCACGGCTGTCAGCGCACCGGCTGACATCGACAAACTCTGCGCGGCAGTCCCCGACGACTTGGCGACATTGATCCGCAAGCATGCCGACATCTTTCCGGACGACCTACCGCCAGGATTGCCACCCGAGCGAGACCACGACCATAAAATCCAGCTGGAGCCCGGCGCGCAACCGACGGTTCGGACACAGTGGAGGCTGACTCAGCCATAGCTGGATGACATGCTCGAGAAAGGTTTCGTCCGCCCCAGTACTTCACCGTTCGCAGCTCCGATACTGTTCACCCCGAAGAAAGATGGCGGTCTACGAATGTGCATTGACTACCGCGCCTTGAACCGGGTTACCATCAAGTCTCGCTATCCTATTCCGCGTGCCGACGAACTCATCGACCAACTTCGTGGGGCAAAGTTCTTTTCGAAAATTGACCTGCGAGGCGGTTACCACCAGATCCGTGTCAACGACGCTGACTGCTACAAGACGGCGTTCCGAACCCGATACGGGAGTTACGAGTACACGGTCATGCCTTTTGGCTTAACCAACGCGCCTTCAACATTCCAGTTAACCATGAACGAAGTTTTTCGGCCGCTGCTGGATAAATGCGTCATTGTGTACCTCGACGACATCCTGATATACAACACTATCCGGGAAGCACATTTAAGGGATTTGGAAGCAGTCTTCGCTCTCCTGCAGCAGCATCGACTCATCACCAAGGGTTCTAAGTGCGAGTTTATGAAACAAGAACTGGAGTTTTTGGGACACGTTATTTCCATCGACGGTGTTAAAATCGACCCGAAAAAAATCGCGACCATACAAGACTGGAAGCCGCCGGCTAATCTTCGCGAACTTCAAAGTTTCCTAGGGTTTGTGAATTACGTTCGCCGATTCATCCCGAACATGGCGGGGGTAACTTCCCCTCTCACGGATCTTCTGAAGAAAGGCACGTTTTATGAGTGGGGGGGAGAGCAGCAGGCTGCGTTCGACCAACTCAAACTTTTCCTGACAACACCTCCGGTTCTTCGCATTGCAGATCCTCACCGTCCGTTCGAACTCATCACCGACGCTAGCGACCTGGCTGTTGGCGCAGTACTGTTACAGGTGTTCGGCGAAGGCCTTCAACCCATCGCCTACGAGTCACGAAAGCTGAATCCGGCCGAGCGAAATTATCCCGTCCACGACAAGGAGTTACTCGCCATCGTTCACGCGTTCAAGGTTTGGCGCTGCTACCTGACGGGCGCTGATGTGACAGTCCGAACAGACCACAAATCGCTACAGTTCATCCGCGCCCAACCGACACTCAACCCCCGACAGATTCGCTGGCTCGATTATCTCGAGTCGAATTTCCACGACAGAGTCACCTACAAACGAGGGGCCAGCAACATCGCCGACGCACTGACCCGCCCTTCAGTACATACCGCCGCTGTCCTAATCACCCAAACCAATTCGCTGCTAACTGGACTATTTACCCACGGATACAGTACCGACCCATTCTTCACGACTAACAGTCATCCCCAACTGACAGTCAAGCAGGGGGCTTATTACCTAAAATCCGGTACCAATCGGATTTGGGTCCCCGCTTACCGTACCCTACGCGAGCTACTGATACAGGAGGCACATGACTCGAATTTCTCAGGTCACTACGGCATCGACAAAACTGCCAAATTACTGAGCTGTAATTATTACTTGCCCGATTTGCCGACGGACATGCAGCAGTACATCACCTCCTGCGCCACGTGTCAACGCATGAAGTCGTCACGACTTCGATCTGCGGGATTACTGCAGCCACTCGAGCCACCCAGCCGACCCTGGCAACAAGTGACGATGGATTTCGTCACTGGCCAGCTAGCTGGTCCAAGCGGTAATGACGCGATTCTCGTCGTCGTTGGCCGTTTGACCAAAATGGCACACTTCGCCGCCTGCAAGACGACAATCACTGCCGAGCAGACAGCGAAGCTGTTTCTCACGAACATCGTGCGGTTACACGGCATCCCTTCGGCAATCATCAGCGATCGCGACCCTCGGTTCACGTCCAATTTCTGGACAAAAGCCTGGCAGCAGTACGGCACACCTCTGCATCGGACGGCCAGACTGAGCGCACCAATCAGACGATGGAGCAGTTGATTCGTACAACGTGCACAGACCCGGCCCAGTGGGAAGATTCTCTTCTACTGATCGAGTTTGTGTACAACAACGCCCCATCAGCCACGACTACTCAGTCCCCGTTCTTCCTTAATTACGGGATAGACCCG